ATCATCAACTCCATCTTCCCTGCAAGAGTTTGTTCCAGCCCCTGAACACCACCCAGTAAGCACTTGGGAGGTGTCTGTTGAATGAATTCATGAAAGGACAGAATTGGCTCCACCCACATTCCTCGCTGGCAATCCGGCCCTCCATTAAAGCCCTCAGCTGGGAGAGGAGGACCCAAGGGCCTGAACCATTCAATCCTGACCACGAGGAACAAACTACTCTCTCCTTCTGGCCCTCTTTGCACAGGCTGCTCCCACTGCCACGAACTCCCTTTCCACTCTGCCTGTGTGTGGATGTTGCCTCAGATGCGAGGGGATCTCTGCTACTGGGTCTCCGTCACCCCTTCTTTTTTTCTTTTGAGACGGAGTCTCGCTCTGTCGCCCAGGCTGGAGTAAAGTGGCATGAGCTCGGCTCACTGCAACCTCTGCCTCCCGGGTTCAAGCAGTTCTCTGCCTCAGCCTCCCCACCACCACGCCTGGCTAAATTTTTGTATTTTTAGTAGAAACGGGGTTTCACCATCTTGGCCAGGCTGGTCTTGAACTCCTGACCTCGTGCTCCACCCACCTCGGCCTCCCAAAGTGCTGGGATTACAGGCAAGAGCCACCGCGCCTGGCCTCCATTACCCTTTCTACTGCACAGCCCTCATCACTATTCATTTCTGTCTCCTCCCCTGCTAGACTGAGACTCAGATCTTCTTTTACATTTTTAAATTTTTTTTTTTTTTTTTTTTTTTTTTGAGATGGAGTTTTGCTCTTGTTGCCCAGGCTGGAGTGCAGTGGCGCGATTTCGGCTCACCGCAACCTCCTCCTTCCATGTTCAAGCGATTCTCCTGCTTCAGCCTCCTGAGTAGCTGGGGTTACAGGCATGAGCCACCGTGCCCGGCCACATTTTTTAATTTTTGGAGACAAGGTCTCGCTCTGTCACCCAGGCTGGAGTGCAGTGGCACCATCACAGTTCACTGCAGCCTCCAACTTCTGGGCTCAAGCGATCCTCCCGCCTCAGCCTCCTGAGTAGCCTGAACTACAGGCATGTGCCACCACACCAGACTAATCCTTTAAAAAAAAAAAACTGTAGAGAAGGATCTCACTATGTTGCCCAGGCTGGTCTCAAACTCCTGGCCTCAAGTGCTCCTTGCCCCTCAGCCTCTCAAAACACTGGGAGCACAGGCGAGAACCACCATGCCTGGCTTCGATGTCACGTCTCTCAATGGCCATGCTACTCCAAGACCCAGGGAAAAAAGACTAAGCCTGCAGCCCTCAGGATGAGCCGGGGAGGGGTGCATCAGGGGCATGGATGGTGAGGGGTGGGGACAGCGGGGCGGGGGCACTGTTACCTCTTGACGCCGTAGGCCATGTTGAGCAAATTGTCCAGCCTGTGGAGGCAGAGGTGGTGGTCAGAGGTGGCTTCCAGTCATGCCCCCCGGCTGTGACACCGTAGGCCTGCCCTCCCCACCCCCACCCAACAAGCCTGCAGCAGAGCCCTGCCCCCGCCTGCCTGCTCCCTGCCCGCCCGGCTAGACACCGCCTGGCACGGAACCGTGGTCACTCAGGCACCGCCTCTCGCCTGCCCCGCCGCTGCCCAGCCTGCACTGCCCTCCTCATCCATCCTCCCCCTCCTGGCCGGCGTGTCCCCTCTGGGCCCAGGCGCTGGGATCCCTCGGGAAAGATAACGCCTAACAAAGGCAACAGTAACTACTATAGGCAACATTCTCGCAGCACTTGAAGGGGTGGGTAACTTGCCCCGACCACCCAGGGGCCCACAAGGGGCTTCCATTGTCTCCCCTTGGAGTGACTACGAGCTTGGACTCCAGGTCCTGGGTTCGAGTCTCTGCTCTGTTTGGGCCGGGCAAACCCCAACACCTCTCTGTGCCTCAGAGTCCCCGTCCATAAAACAGGGACGACACAAGCTCTGTTCTCATCGGGTTGCAGAAAAATAAGGGTGTGTAGCACACAGCAAAGACTCATGAAATATTTGGTATTATTACAGATGGGGAAACTGAGGCACAGAGAGATACAGTCACGAACCTGAAAGAAAAAGGGGCCACCAGAGCTGGAACCCAGTCAGATGACGCCGAAATTTTTTTTTTTTTTTTCGAGACGGAGTCTCACTCTGTTGCCCAGGCTGGAGTGCAGCAGCAGATCTCAGCTCACTGCAAGCTCTGCCTCCCGGGTTTACGCCATTCTCCTGTCTCAGCCTCCCGAGTAGCTGGGACTACAGGCGCCCGCCACCACGCCTGGCTAATTTTTTGTGTGTTTTTAGTAGAGATGGGGTTTCACCGTGTTAGCCAGGATGGTCTCGATCTCCTGACCTCGTGATCCACCCGCCTTGGCCTCCCAAAGTGCTGGGATTACAGGCTTGGGCCACCGCGCCCGGCCAATGCCAAAATCTTTAACACCAAGAATGCCAATCGTTGTGGCCAGCACACACTGAGTGCCTGCTGTATACGAGCGGCTGGCCTTGGCGCTTGACAGATAGGCGCCTTGGCCCCCATGTGTGCGCCCTCCCGGCATCCCTCCCCTGGCAGGAATGGGGTTCAGGCAGGGCACCTGCACGCTTGGGGACACCCAGCCTGGGGCCGTCTGGGTGGGTGGCAGGGGGCTCACCGGAAACGCTGTGTCTGATGGTGTAGGGGGCCTGCGTAGCGCCGGGCAGACGACTGGTAGAGGTGGGTGAGCAGCGCCTGCCCCGTCTTCTGACTCGGGTTGTTCGCGAACTTGACTGTGATGGGCTCAGCTGCGCCCAGCGGCTTCTGCCCGTTCAGTCCTTTGATAGCCTCCTCAGCCTCAATCCTCTTGTCGAAGCGGATGAATCCCACACCCCGAGAGACACCTGCCAGGGGGTGGGAACGTCCATCACGACGACCCTGTCCCCCTCCTGTGTAACCCCACTCCTCCATTCCCTGCTTCATGCCCTGACTCTCGGTCGGTTTCTCCACGTTGATCCCACCTGACTGCCTTTGCCCAGCACCCCCACCAGGTGCACCCTCCCTGACTGCCTGACCTGTGACCTGGTCCACCAGGATGCGGGACGTGATGATGCGGCCGTACTGGGAGAAGAGCTGCTCCATCTCTTTCTGGCTCATGGTCTTGGGGAGCCCGCTGACGTACAGGTTAGCATCCCGGATGGATGCTGAACTGGGTCTGGCATAGGACACCTGGGTGAGGGGGTCAGACAGGCAGGGGTGAGGCAGAGACCCATTTCACAGATGGAGAGAGTGAGGCCACGTCTAAGCCATCACGGAGTTGGCGGAAGTGACCCATCCGTCACTCAATAAGTATCTCTAGAGTTGTCACCATGGGTGGGGCTGAGTCGGATATGGGAGAGGGGACACGGCAGTGGCTATAACAACTTGGCACTGCCTGTATAGAATGATGGGGACCTGCCACCTGGGGAGGACATGTCTCCCTGGGGTGACATGTGACCCCAAGGGGATCCTTGAATACCCAGCTCACATCACTATCACATGCTTGATAGTCCACTAACAAACATTGACTTTTTTTCTTTTTAAAGCCAAGGTCTCACTTTTTAACCCAGGCTGGAATGCAATGGTGTGATCTCAGCTCACTGCAGCCTCCACCTCTTGGGCTCAAGCAAGCCTCCCGCCTAAGCCCCCCAAGTAGCTGAGACTACAGGCACCCACCACCACTCCTGGCCAGCTGTTTTCTTCTTTTTTTTCTTTTGAGATGGAGTTTTGCTCTGTCGCCCAGGCTGGAGTGCAGTGGCACCATCTCGGCTCACTGCAACCTCTGCCTCCCGGGTTCAAGCGATTCTCCTGCTTCAGCCTTCTGAGTAGCTGAGATTACAGGCATTCACCACTATGCCCAGCTAATTTTTTTATTTTTTATTTTTATTTTTATTTTTGAGATGGAGTGTCGCTCTGTCACCAGGCGGGAGTGCAGTGGCGCGATCTCTACTCACTGTAGCCTCCGCTTCCCGGGTTCAAGCAACTCTCCTGCCTCAGCCTCCCGGCTAGCTGGGACTACAGGCATGCCACCACCACGCCCAGCTATTTTTTTTTTTTTTTGTATTTTTAGTAGAGACGGGGTTTCACCTGCCACCATGTTGGCCAGGATGGTCTTGATCTCTTGACCTTGTGATCCGCTCATCTTGGCCTCCCAAAGTGCTGGGATTACAGGTGTGAGCCACCGTGCCTGGCCTAATTTTTGTAATTTTAGCAGAGATGGGGTCTCACCATGTTGGTCAGGCTGGTCTCGAACTCCTGACCTCATGATCTGCCTGCCTCAGCCTCCCAAAGTGCTGGGATTACAGGCGTGAGCCACCTCCCCCAGCCTCAGCTAATCTTCAAAAAAAAATTTTTTTTTTTTTTTTTTTGTAGCGACATGATCTCACTGTGTTATCCAGCTACACTGGGTCCCCCAGGGACATTCAGATCTTTAGTCATCAGCTCCATCCAATAACTCCCAAATGTCCTCAGTCTGCACCGCTGGTGGCACCTGCGTCCAGGTGCCCCACATGAGGGGGTCAAGGGCCCTTCACACACAGCATGGGTACTTCCAGCTCCCGCCCACCTCCCATCTGCCCCGACTCACTAATGGCAGCTCTGTCCTCCTAACTGCTTGTGTCCCCAGGTTCAGATTATTCTCGACACCTGTTCTTCACATGCACATTCAACCCACTGTAAATCCTGTAGGCTCCACCTTCCTCCTTATCCAGAATCCACACACTTCACCCCACTGCCACTGTCCCACCCTGGCCCAGCCTCCACTACTGATCACCTGGACCAGCATAGCAGTCTCCACGCTGGCCCTCCTGCTCCCATCCCCCACTGTCTGTTCCCCCTGCAGCAGCCAGAGGGCGCCTGTGAACACCTGAGCCAGGTCACATCCCCCATCTGCTCAGTACTCTCTATGGCTCCCACCTTCCTCAGCAGGAAAGCCCAGGTCCTTTCCTTGTACCACAAAGCCCTGCACATTCTTCCCCATCACACCCTTGCCCTCATCTCCCCCGACTTTCTGCCGCAATTACCGTGTTCCAGCAACTTGAACTTACCCCATTTTTCACAAACACACCAGGCACGTCTCAGCCTCAGGGCCCTGGCATTGCCTGTTCTCTCTGCCTGGAACACTCTTCCCCCTCTTCTTTCTTTGGGTCTCAGTTGAAACATCCTCCCTGTCCTCTCTCATCTAAATTTGTAGCCGGGCGCGGTGGCTCAAGCCTGTAATCCCAGCACTTTGGGAGGCCGAGACGGGCGGATCACGAGGTCAGGAGATCGAGACCATCCTGGCTAACACAGTGAAACCCCGTCTCTACTAAAAAATACAAAAAACTAGCCGCGCATGGTGGCGGGCGCCTGTAGTCCCAGCTACTTGGGAGGCTGAGGCAGGAGAATGGCGGGAACCCGGGAGGCGGAGCTTGCAGTGAGCCGAGATCGCGCCACTGCACTCCAGCCTGGGCGACAGAGCGAGACTCTGCCTCAAAAAAAAAAAAAAAAAAAAAAAAAAAAAAGAAACATCCTCCCTGTCCTCTCTCATCTAAATTTGTCCTCCCCTCACCACCCCTATTACTCTTTCTCAAAGCACTTCTCCCAACTAGGAATTAGACAGATTTTAGCACTACTATCTGAATCACATTATTAATTAGAGTCCAACCCAACAATGAAATTCTCTGCAGGTGTTTAAAAAAATGGTGGGTCAGGTGCAGTGGCTCATGCCTATAATCCCAGTGCTCTGGAAGTTCAAGGCGGGAGGATCGAGGGAGCCCAGGAGTTTGAGACCAGCCTGGACAATGCAGCAAGACCCTCCCCCGCCCCTAACAATCTCCACAAAAAAAAGAAAAAAAATTAGCTGGGTGTGGTGGCACACACCTGTGGTCGCAGCTACTCAGGAGGCTGAGGCTGGAGGATCACTTGAACCCAGGAGTTCAAGGCTGCAGTGAGCTATGATCACACCACTGCACTACAGCCTGGGCTACAGAGCAAGACCCTGTCTCTAAAAAAAAAAAAGAAAAAATGGACATGTATATTTATTTCCCAGAGACGGTGGTGAGTGGCGAGTATGGTAAAATAGGGGACAGAAAAGTCTATTTACAAAGCAGGGAATATTGTGTGACCTTGTTTCATTGTATGTTTATCAATGTCCTGGAAGCATGGCCCAGAAGTCCACCTCTCAGATGCTCAGTGGGTGACCTGAGGACGAGGCTGGGGCGTGGTCATGAGCAATTCTCCCCCGTATCTATTTTTCCTCCCTCCCTCCCCTCCCTCCCTCCCTCCCTTCCTTCCTTCCTTCCTTCCTTCCTTCCTTCCTTCCTTCCTTCCTTCCTTCCTTCCTTCCCTCCCTCCCTCCTTCTTTCCTCCCTCCCTCCCTCCTTCCCTTCCTTCCTTTCCTTCCTTTCCTCTTTCTTTTTCTTGTGAAGTGAGGTTTTTGTTTGTTTTGAGATAGGGTCTCGCTCTGTTGCCCAGGCTGAAGTACAGTGGTGCAATCATGGTTCACCGCAGCCTTGACCTCCCGGGCTCCAGCAATCCTCCCACCTCGGCCTCCCAAAGTGCTGGGACTACAGGTGTGAGCCTTCGTGCCCAGCCTCTATTTTCTATTTCTTCTAATTAACCTCTTGATAGATAGGGGTCATTGTCAAGGGTCTGGCTTTTGTTTGGGACAGTGAGTTGAGACAGTGAGTTGTGAGAGTGTATGCCTCCATTTGAAATAACTAACTAAAAAATGAACAAAACAGATAAAGTAGTTTGAGAGTGAATGGGGGGGCGGGGTTCTGATTAATGCAATTTTGTGCACCTGGGGTTCTCCAGAAAAAAAAAGACAATCACATCAGCCGCTGTCATGTCCGTGATAGTGATTTTTAAAATGACAGCCATGGCGGGAATGGTGGCTCACGTCTGTAACCCCAGCACTATCTGAGGCCGAGGTGGGCAGATTACTTGAAGTCAAGAGTTAGAGACCACCCTGGCCAACACGGTGAAATCCCATCTCTAGTAAAAATGCAAAAATTAGCCGGGCATGGTGACAGGCACCTGTAATCCCAGTTACTCAGGAGGCTGAAGCAGGAGAATCACTTGAACCCAAGATGTGGAGTCGCAGT